AAGATGAAGAGTAAACACTATGAGAAGGTCGACAACTTTGTTGAAAGGTTTTCTCCTTTTGTTTTGAAGTACGAGTTCACCGAAGGTCAAAGTGGCTTAGTAACCACATTAAAACCTATTGTCGAACATTGGTCTTACCCTCAGTTCGCAAAGGCAGTCCTTGACAACTACAACAAATTCTTCTCAGAGGTCAAATCCAAAGTGAAGGTTTACTACGAGAACATTGACGCACTCATGACGAACGAAGAAGGATATAACAAACTCATTGAAATGGGAATGGTCGGTGAAAAGATGGGCTGTTTTAAGGTAGATAAGGTATTTTCCGAAGTTCATGTACTCTCCAAACGTAAGTACTGGGGTATACTTGAAGACGGCACAGAAATAAAACATTGCATGAAATAAAACATTGCATGAAGTAAAAAATTGCATGAAGTAAAAAATTGCATGAAATAAAAACATTTTTTAAAAAAAACATTTTTTTATTTTATTTGAAATGTACGCTGAGTTTGTTGGAGAAGACCGTTGGGAAACTTGTTTGTTAGATGAAGAGTATGAAATTCACTGTTCTGAGCCTTTTGAAATAAGGAAGAAAGAAACCAAAGAATTATACATGAATATAACAGAGGAACAGGTTATATTTGTGTAACATTAAACCTCAAAAAGTACCAAAAACATGTCGTCATTGCAACTCATTTTATACCGAACCCTAACAATTTACCGTGTGTGGACCATATAAACCATCAAAGAGACGACAATAGACTTGAAAACTTACGTTGGGTCACTTGTTCTGAAAACAATAAGAACAAAGGCAAATTTGGAGATATTGTATTCGAATTTGTCGACGAACTAGAAGATGAAACAATTGAAATTACAGACTATGGTAAGCATACGTTTGAGTTTTACTACTATAGCGAAGAACAAGACTCTTTCTACTTTTATACCGGCGTAAACTATAGGAAATTACAAGTATATTTTACTAAGGCAGGCTATGCTTATGTAAACACTAGAGATACAGATGGAAAACGCGTTCAAATACTTCTTAACAAATTCAAGAAGCTATATGGCATACCATTTTAAAACGTTTTTAAAACCATATATTTTTACATATATGAAATGCTTCAGGTTGAAAAACAAAGAACAAAAGTAGCAGATACAAAACCGTTAGACTATATCTTCACAAATGCCGGTAGGACTATATCAGATGAAGAAATTTCATCCCGTATATACAGGTTTGACTATCCAATTCGTTGGCTTCAAAGTCCTTCAGATGCAAAGGCAATAGGATTTAGAAGAGTTTTGTTTTCAAATAGAACTAACGCCTTCATGTTCGCAGTATATTTTCATGGTCAGTATAAAGGTTCTGATGGTCTAATAGAAAAATTTGACGAAATGAAAATCTTTACAATTCGTTCAGACGAAAGTCTTGAGAAAACTCTAAATGACTTCCAAACTCAAATAAACAAATACTACTGGGAATTTCAAGAAAAATACCACTCTTTACTAAATGGAACATACTATCTGAAACTAGAATATAACAAGATGAACTCCACAGTTTCATTTCAAAAGATTGAAATTAACCCTCCAAGAGATACAGAGTTTTTATATTGGGGAGTAGACAAACGTTCTTGGGCACAATTTCTTCGGTTACTAAACCAGAACGAACCATTACCACCAGATGGTCCATTTAAATTTATACTTCCACCAGCAGATTTGACAGTTTATAGAAACGTGTTTGACCCTCAAAATGTCATGTGTCATGCAAGTTTCAGTTCAAGCAACAACAGTTTTCTTTGTATTGGTAAGGACTTTTATGACTTTGCTTCTAAATTCTACGAACCACCTAGTAACAGTTTCTCTGACTTTCAAGTTTGGTTCACAACAAACGGTGTGCAGCATATTATTCCATTATACTATGACTTTTATCTCGAATTGTCTTTCATATACAACTACGGAAAAGTGCTGAAAAAGTATTGAAAAATGAGTTTTGGTTAGATGGTTTTTAGGTGTGCCTATGTGCCTATGTGCCTCGGTCAAATGAACTTCTCTTAAAATTACTGACAACATGACATTTTGACAACAGTCCAGGAAATAAACTTCTTCATCGTATATGTTTTGAAGAACTGAAGTGTGCCTATGTGCCCATGTGTGCCTATGTGCCTATGTGCCTCGGTCACTTTAACTTCTTTTAAAAAGTGTGACAACAAGACATTATGACAACAGTCCAGGAAAATGTCAAGACTTCTTCTTCGTAAATGTTTTGTCATGACTTCTTCTTCGTAAATGTTTTGTCATGACTTCTTCATCGTATTCTTTCACAAAATGCTTGTTTTGAGGTCGAGCCATTTTTGGCTCCACCGTAGAAAACACACAAAACTCATGAATTTTCCCGAAATAAAAAAAGTTAGTTTTTTTAAAAAAATATTTTTTATTTTATTGTAAGAACATGTTAGCAACAACAGCACCAAACTCTTTAGTCATGAACCCAACTTCAATGTTAGTAGAGATGAAAAGCTTCATTCCTTCTTCATATACTTTCGAAACAGAAATCCAGAAGATAAAGCAAGAACTTTTAACAAGTAATTTAGATTGCACTGCAAAAGATGAAACAAATGAACAGTATCTTTATGAAATGCAGGACCTGGTGGAACATCTACCTAAACTTCCTGAAATACAACAACAAAAGCTCACTATTCCTGAATTCGATGAAATAGAAGTGAAACCAACCGACTCAGTAGAAATAAAGAAGTTCATACGTAATGTAAACTATGAGTTTCTTGGATTTCATTGCAACCACAAAGACTGCGATATGGTATATTTCATTGACATATATAAATCTGGGGAGTTTAAGACCTACGACAACTTTGTTTCGTTAGTTGCTGAATGTGTATGGCAGATAAGAGATAAAGATAGAAGAGGTAAAGTATGGAACGGACAAATAAAACCAGCAGCCTTTGAGTTAAAGAAAACCATTTACGCCTTAGTTGTACTTGCAGGACAAATTTCAATGTACAATGCTAAAATGAACCCACAATGTTCTAAATGTAAAGCAGCAATGAGGAAATATAACTATTCTGTCAAAGAGATAGAACGTATGCGAAACGACTATGCTGACTTAAAGAAAGAAGCAGAGAAACCAGCAGAAGATAAAATGGACATGTTGACATTTCTGAACAAAAACTATCCAACTGCTGACGATTTCCTTCTTTCAGATGTCAAGAAGAAATATAAAGAAACATTCGGCATTGTTAAAACTTTTGATATCCTTCGTGAAGAAATAGAAGCCACAAAACTGTTTAAAGTCATGAACCATCACAACATATACCATGTAAAACGCTTATAAAACTTTATGGTAGAAATATATTTTTGTCTGATTTACGCTCATGTTTGACAAAACATATACGATGAAATCTATTTCCTGTGTTGTTGTCAAAAATGTCGTGTTGTCAGTAATTTTAAGAGAAGTTCATTTGACCTGGTGACCTGGTGACCTGGTGACCTGGTTCCACCTAAAATATATTTTTGTCTGATTTACGCTCATTGACGATGAAATACAACAACAAAACATATACGATGAAATCTATTTCCTGTGTTGTTGTCAAAATGTCGTGTTGTCAGTAATTTTAAGAGAAGTTCATTTGACCGAGGCACATGGGCACATGGGCACACCTAAATATATTTTTGCTGAAAAAATGACCAAATTTCATTATATAACTGTTATATTTTGACGAAGTGAACTTTAACACTTCGTAAAAAAAATGACGTTTACCATGTAAAACGCTTATGAAAATCGTGAAATTTTTACGAAGTGAACTTTAACACTTCGTCAAAAAAATAGCGTTTACCATGTAAAACGCTTATGAAAATCGTGAAATTTTGACGAAGTGAACTTTAACACTTCGTAAAAAAAATGACGTTTACCATGTAAAACGCTTATGAAAATCGTGAAATTTTTACGAAGTGAACTTTAACACTTCGTCAAAAAAATAGCGTTTACCATGTAAAACGCTTATGAAAATCGTGAAATTTCTCTAGCCCGATTTTTTTCGGCCTTGCATAAAACTCTATGAAAATCGTAAAAAAACTCTATGAAATCATATCTTTTATACAAGATAGAAAAAATAAAATAACGCTAGTTTTTTTAAAATATTTTTTTTTATTTTGTATGTAAGAACAGGAAATGACAAACACTGAGTTTGAAACAGTTAAAAAGATAGACAATGAGACCAAAGTGGTTAGAATTGGTGATTTAAACGTAAGATACTCAAAGAAATACAAGAAATATTCTTTGTCAGACATTCTAACACCATCTGGAAAGAAAACATCCCATTGGGTTGGAATTGCTTCAACTCAGAAAATTTTGACAAAAAATCCTGAGCTTATGATATCGGTAAGATTCTATGGAACAAGAACATATCTTATAGACAAAAGTCTTATACCACTAGTTTTGTTCTGGATTGACCCAGTTGTTGGATATAATTTCATAACATATGGTTCATTCGATACTGAACGTTGCAGTGAGGGCTTACTTTACATCGTTCAGAAACCGAAGGACTTCAATACAAAGAGATATAAGATAGGAAGAACATATAATATAACTCAAAGATATGACAGTACAGTCAATAGAGTCAAGGTTGTGTTTGTTAACGATATGAGAGCTGCTGAAACAGAACTACTTGAAAAGTTTGAGAAAATGTATGGTGCTCCCACGAAAGGTAAAGAAACGTTTGAAGTAGATGAGATAGATAGTGCTATAAAATTATTTGACGAAGTTGCTGAAAAATACATGTAAAGCGTTTATTTTTGGTCTTTTATACAAGATAGAAAATAACGCTAATTTTTTATAAAATATTTTTTTTATTTTGTATGTAAAGACAGATATGACAACAACCGAGAACACAACAACTGCTATCGTTCATGAAGCCATAAGTGAAGAATATGAGTGGGTTCAGTTAAACAAACAACTCCGTCTCATTCGTTCGGTCAAAGATGACATGTACCAAATGCAAAGTATTTTGACAGCATGTTTTGCACCAGACACTAAACACGCAGACGACTGGTTTGAATTAAATAGCACTCATGAACTCCTCAGTGAGTTTGAACATGTAGAACTTAAAAAGATGTACCAAGACAGACAAAACTTACCATCACATCTAAAAGGTATATATGTTCATAAGTTCCTAGTTAGTTCAATAGCAATGTGGGCTTCACCTCGTTATGCAATCTACATACTTATGCTACTTGACGAACTTTGTACAAAACAGAGAGAAGATATGATGAAAGAAGACAAAAACATACAGAAAAGAATACCACGTTCGGTACCAAAAGGAAAGGAAAAGAACTATAAGTATATGATTTACACTGAAGAGATGGAAAATGAAGAAGACAGAGATATGGTTATGTTGCATTTAGTCAGAAGAAACAACAAAAGCTTTTACGACCTTGCTAAGATTTACAAATCTGACAGAAATTGGTTCTATCGCGAAAACTTACCGATTTCAATGACACCGAATGAAGATGTTAAACAGATAGTTCAAGATACTTTACCTCAAACACACTATGATATGAAAGGTTGTACAATACTTACCTTCAAAGAAGATTTACCGCTACTGAAAGAAAAAATAACAGAGTATTTTGACAACTTCAAACAAGCAGAGTAGATGAACCATTTATTTTTCAAGCTTGACACCAAAGATGGCTCAGGTAGCTCTATAAGGTAAATTGTCTTGTCCGAGTCCTTCTGGCATTCCGAGTCCTTCCTTCCAACAGGAAAAAAATTTCTTTCCGACAGGAAAAGTTTTTCTTTCCGACAGGAAAAGTTTTTCTTTCCGACAGGAAAAGTTTTTCTTTCCGACAGGAAAAGTTTTTCTTTCCGACAGGAAAAGTTTTTCTTTCCGACAGGAAAAATTTTTCTTTCCGACAGGAAAAATTTTTCTTTCCGACAGGAAAAATTTTTCCAGTTGTCCGTCCGTAAACCATTCAAATTTTCGAAAATTGAGAACTTTTTGGCCGACCTTCAGGAAAAGTTTTTCCTTCCAACAGGAAAAGATTTTCCTTCCAACAGGAAAAGTTTTTCCTTCCGACAGGAAAAATTTTTCTTTCCGACAGGAAAAGTTTTTCTTTCCAACAGGAAAAGTTCTTCCTTCCGACAGGAAAAGTTTTTCTTTCCAACAGGAAAAGTTCTTCCTTCTGGCATTCCGAGTTCTTCCTTCCGACAGGACACAAACGAATGTCCGACGTACCACCAACCGAGTCCATTCCAAAGCCAGAAGAACCGAAAGCCCCAGCACCACAACAGACTAAGACTCAACACTTACATTTTTTACGCTTGACTTTTTACAATTTGAACTTTGTTCGCGTAGATATGAATTCTGAAAGAAGTATGAGGGTCTTGTATGACTTTGTACTCTCCCATAGTTCATGTCTGTCAAACTTACCTGCCATGGACTCTTTCATAAGTTCCATGAAATCGTCTTCGGACAATCCGGGGAAAAGTACAATGTCAGTAAGTATTCTCTTTACATCCTTACTTAAACTCTTGGCTGTCTGTACACAAATGACAACAAGATGTTAAAGTGTCTGAGCTTCTTAAGAATTCGACACATGTCTTGTTCTCTATTCTTTAACAAAGGATGAGAAGCAAAGTCATCTAAGATAAGAAGACATCTATGAGGGTAAGTCTTCCAATCGTAAGATTGCAATTTCTTCGAAATGTATTCTATCTCTTTCTGTTTGTTTCTGAAGTGTTTCTTCTCTAATATTCTCTGCATTTCCTCATTTGGGTCTTTAAACTTCGAATTATATACTCATTTATAGCATTGTACTTCAAAACTCTTCTTTGGTACTTCTTTATCCAATCTAACAACTCAGAGTCTTTTATACATACTAACTTAGACTTTTTTATAATATCTTTGAACGAATTGACGGTTTGGTCAAATTGACCGAAGTACTACAAATGACTACTAACTCATAGAATGGGTTCTTCTCATCTAGTTCTTGTTGTTGTGCAGCCATTTTAAGATAAGTGAAAGTCTTACCCGACCCAGGTGGTGCAATTAGACCTGTTATACCATTCTGAGCAAATAAGAACTTGTCATGTATGGGTTTTATCTGAGCATTTTCCAACTTCCTCTTGTTCTTGTTTAAAACATTCTCAAATTTCTTGTCAATGTCAGCAAACTTTTTTTCTAACATATTTTTAGAAAAATTAAAACTTTTATCTTTTAGAAAATGTCTAGCGATTTCGCCATCTATATTCGAGACAAGCTTTTCGACAGCAAAACATCTGTAGACCATAAAATCTTACATAGTGTAAACAAGAAAGGTGAATTTGTTCTAAAGTTCTGTTTCTGGGAATATGACAAGAACCATAAAACATTAAGCAGAGCAGTCTTAAAATTTGTCAATGACAGACTTGTTGACAGAGATGACGCCTCTTGGAGAGATGAAGTCCAACAAAACTTCTTAGAATGCAAAGAAGACACATGCGCTGTTCTTGAAGATGAAATAGAAAACAGAATAGAAGAGCTATTAAAGGACAAAGAACTTTTACAAAAATATGGTTCTGAGAAGTTTGACATAACTCCACCAGAAAAGAAGAAGAGAGAAAAGAAAGAAAAGAAAGTAGAAGAAGAGAAGAAAGAACCTGAGCCAGAGAAAAGAAATTTGACATGTAAAAATAAAATTTTATTTTTAGAACATTTCTGGGTCAATGTCAATGTTCTCTTCCTCTTTAGGAGCAAACACCGGCTTAGACTCTAAAATCTTTTTACCCAATTTACCTTGAACTTCAACTATCTTAGACTCATAATATTCATAGTCGTCTGCTTTCTTTGGTTCATAAGGTATAACAAGTTTGTATGCTTTGCCTTCTTTAAGGTTTGAAAACCTTCTGTCAAAACTTTCTTTGACTGTTAACAAACCTTCTATGTCTAAGTCTTCAAATTTCGCACCATTTTTAGTCACAATAGCAAACTTAACGGTTCGATGTTCCAAACTTTGTCAAATGTAGACTTTTCAAAATGGTAGAAGTAAACATTCAAATATGTGAATGGGTCTAGTTCTTCTTTAAGTCCTGACATGTACTTGTTTACTGAGATGAATTTCGTCATCTTTTCTATCGGATAAAAAAAATATTTTTTTTTAAATTTACTCAGAAAAATTTTTCTTTGTATATACACCATTCTGTACGTCTAAAAGACTTTTGACATTTGCCAAGAATGTTCGTTTAGACGCTGTCATATAACCATACTCTTGACAATACTGTTTATACGAATCGTACAATGACCTTTCATCTAAACACTCAAAGTCAGTTTCATCTATGAACAGTTCATATACACTCTTGTTTGCTTCTAACAATGTTTGTCTCTCTTCGGTATGTGGAATTTGTCTTGGATTGAACTTAGAAATATCTAATGTCATGAAATATGAGAACAAGTGGTTGTAAAAGTCAGATGTCAAAGTTTCTGCTAAGTCGTCAAAATATTCTGTATCTTGCATATGAGAATCTGACGTTCTGACAACTACATATCTTCTGTCAGAACTTTCTAACTTCATCGGAACAGCATTGTTTGAAACCATGACGAAGTTTGCAACATTTTCACAAACTCTTTGGTCTTTATATTTTCTTTCAACAACTCCAACTTTGTCTGTTATAAGACTCTTCAAAGCATCTGAGTTCAAAACTTTTGTTGTATCTATACTTTGAAGTTCGTTACATACTATAAGTTTCATATTCTCTATTGAAGAGTTAAATTTACCGCAGATGTTTTCTAAGTTTGTCATATTAGGGTTCGAATAGCCCTCTAACAGTTTGCATAAGATATCTGTAAAGAAAGTGTTCTTACCAGTTCCTTGTTTTCCAATTATGATGAGAGCAGTTTCATTTTTAGCACTTGGATGTTGTAAGATGTTTGCAAACCAACATAAGATATACTCATAGACTCTTTCGTTTCCATTGCATATAATTTCTTTGACATGGTCTAACCAAGCTTCTATAACATTTTCTTTCCATTCTACTTGTTCGTATTTATATCCAGTGAAGATAGAATAGAAGTTTGGAGAAGGTGTATAAACTTTATACCACGAACTGAAAAATCTTCTAACTTTGACAATAAGATATCCCAAGCATCTAACATCTTCATACCAACTTGTACGACTTTTATTTTCTTAAGTTTCTGTCTACATTCTTGTTCTGAAACTATTGTTGCTCTTGGTTTGTTAAAGACAACATCCCATTCTTTCATGACATAACATTCTGGGGCAGAGTCGACATAAATGACTAAACGTTTCAAATTCTCGACTGCTTTGTTATAGTCTCTAAATGGACACATATTTCTGAAGGCTTGGAAGTCATAAAAATCTGAAACATCTATTCTGTACATTTTTATAAAAATAAAAAAAAATATTTTTTTTATTCTTGACTTTGTTGTTGCATTTGTTGTTCTTGAGCTATTTGTTGTTGAAGTTGTTCTTGTAGTACAATACTTTCACCAGTTGCATCTTCCAATTCGAAACTTTCTGCCGTCATTGACAAATACATAGGACATAAAAGTTTTACAGGAACAAAGTTTGCGTCAACTAAGGTTAAGTTTATGTTTGCTAAAGTGTTTGAGTTTACTAAAGCTGAAAACTCTGCATTCGAATGAACAATAGGCAAACCAGCAGAGAATGTGTTGTTTATACGCATGAGTATCTTTTGGTCATAGTAGTTTCTGTCGACATTCGAATAGCACTTTGAACCTAAGTTTGAAACAATATATAAAATAGGTGTACTTAAAGTCAATGGAACAGATAGACCTTGTATGACACCTTTTCCTGTTATAGGAAACTGTTGGTAGTAAAAACCAGATATAAGTTTTGTATTATAGCTCATATCGTTTATACTAAACTCAGTCGGACATCCAAACATAATGAAACCTGCTCTAGTTGCAGCACATGTTACATCCGTCCTTAAAGTATTAAATAAGTCAACAAAACCTGTTGGTGGTATATCTGAGTAAGTATCTTCAAAGAAGTATTTTTTACCATTCACAACAACAAAGTCTTCTGGTGTCAAAAGAGCAAAACAGGCTTTAGTCGTCATTGTGTTTAAGGTTAGTTTACAATATCGTCCTTGAGGACTTTGTAAGTTTGTTGTTATAGAATTATATGACTCAGGGTTTTTAGTCGTAATAGTATAAACCACTATGTCTTCTGCCATTTACTTAGCAACTAAATTTTAATGAAATGTTGTGGTCGTCAAATATTTTTATAACGTCTGGGAAACTATATTTTAAGTTCAACGTCTCACCTCCTTTCATAACGTATATCTTGTCAATGACATTATATGAAACACCACAGCAAGCAATGTCGGGTTCTATTTCTTTGATGTTTATATCGTCTGCCTCTGTCAAAAGTTTCAATAGTTCTTTCAAAACTTCATGAGGTGCAATGACATATGAGTTCACTTTTACAGGGTTGTGTTCGACCAAGTTTAACATTATACCTAAAGCTTGACAAATCTTCTCCTGAGTTTTAAGTTTGTCTTTAAGTTGTTGGTAGTCGTTTCGAATATCTGCAACAGAACTTAACT